AATGGCCATGCTTCCCAATTCGGCATTTTTTGTGTGTTAGTAGCCCATAAATGACAAATGTTCCTTATTAGCATAACTTTTGCAAATGTAAAATAGAATTACTATTGTAAAAGGTATATATTTCTGTTTATATTAAAATCATTAGCCATTTCATTACATTAAAAAGCTACGCTTTTCCAATTTTACCGAACAAAAGTCAATGCAACAAGTAAATTTAGATACAGCTCAATGTAAACAAACCATAGCAGGTAAATCCATTTCCTATATATCCTGCGCGGCAATTGCAAGCTCCAGAAATGCAAGTCCCTCCTTGAGAGCTGCAAGGAGGAGAGCAGCTTTGACCTGAGTGTACAGAACAAGAAAGCATATCCATGAAATAGAATTATAGAGGTATAGTTAAATTTCAAACAACTTACAAAAATTTGTCTGTTTTGAATTACTTAGTAGAAGCCGAAGCAATGATTAGAGAATCTTAGGTACAAATAGACTCTTTAGAAGTTGGTCAAAATCAGAAATGCAGGGCTAGGATGTTTGAACAGGGCCGCAAAATTGCACAGGAACAATTGCCAACAAACACAAATATGTAACTCTTTGCATTGACAAAAGCAGCCGGACTACTGCAAGAATCAATTAAAATTAAAAAAAAACAATTGAGAATAATAGCCAGGCTGGAATATTGTCGACATTATTCAATCTGTGTTTTTTGAGCAAAAAAGACAAGCGTGACTTTCCCCAAGAAAGCTTTTCGTTCACATAGCAAACTTGTACTTCGTTTGTATGTTTCTTTCTCAGTTCGTACAAAATCTCCATATTTTTATTCATAAGAATGATATAAAGAACAATTTTAGACTCATACCCTCAAAAAATATTGTTGCATGTTGACTTTTAAAATCAGCAGAGTTTTTAATGCAAATATCTTAAGGAATGCACAATAGATTACACACGAAGTATCTGCTCGGTTTTATTAAAAACGTCTCTAAAATCTACGTAAAATTTGAAATTCGTTTAAGACCAATTAATATTAAAACAGCACATACCTGTACATGTTGTCCCAGGTCCGGTATAACCAGTATTGCAAGCACAGGTGAATGAACCTGCAGTATTTGTGCATGCAGCATTTGAATCACAGTTATGCGTTCCTAATGTACATTCGTCTATATCTAGAAGCAACAAAGAAGCATCTATCATAAATTAAAATGCAATTATCATAAGGAAGGCACAATAGATTACACACAAATTATCTGTTCAGTTTTATTAAAAACGTCTCCAAAATCTACGTAGATTTTGAAATTCGTTTAAGACCAATAAACCTTAATACAGCACTTACCTGTACATGATGTCCCAGGTCCGGTATAACCAATATTGCAAGCACAGGTGAATGAGCCTTTAGTATTTGTGCATGCAGCATTTGAATCACAGTTATGCGTTCCTAATGTACATTCGTCTATATCTAGAAGCAACAAAGAGGCATATATCATAAATTAAAATGCAAATATCATAAGGAAGGCAAAATAGATTGCACACAAATTATCTGTTCAGTTTTATTAAAAACGTCTCCAAAATCTACGTAGATTTTGAGAAGTTCGTTTAAGACCAATTAAAGCCTGAATTACAAACAAGCAACGAACCTTATGACTCATTCATTAGAACACTAGTCCCAACGTTACGGTTCCTCTGTAGCATTTGATAAATCCATCCATATGGTGCAAAGCACACACCAACGGGAGTCTTGCTATAGTATCTATATGTGTAACCTGTCAGTTCATCAGCACCATGATATGAAGTCTCACTACGTATTATTTTTGATGTGTGCATGGCGCAGGTTCCATTTTGACCCCCAACCGCTAATATGTGTCGACATCTCCCTATCCGTATTACTGCTTCTAAGTTAAATCCCTTTAGACGTAGAACAATAAAGAGCTACGTTCTAAAAATCGCATAACACTATAAAGAGTGCCAACAGTCAAATCTCTAAAAAATTGCGCCACCGTGCTAGATCATACAAAATACCAATCAGTTCATATTTTAATAAAAAAAAGGTTTAAATCTGTACGTAGCAATTTTAAATTCGCTAAAACCGAATTTACTCTTAGAAACAACTGTACATAGAAACACCCAAATTACCTATGCATGAAGTCCCACGGTCCCAAACGCGTTAGATATAACCAAACATTGCAACCGAAGCATTAGAAATGAAGGCCTGCAGTATTGTGCAAAAAACCATGCAGCAGTTCTGTTTTTGCATTCTACGATGTTAATGCATTTCAAAAAACCATAATGTGACGATGTCTTCTATATCTAGAATTTTTCTTCAAACAAAAGAGCAATCACTTGTCATAAATTAGAATTTTGCAAAAGATCTTTAAAAAAAGTCAACGATATGACACAACAAATAAAATATCTGTAAAAGATTAATTAATACACTGAACTCCGTAATAATCTATATGCAAATAAAATTATTATTAAGAAACAGCAACCCGAACCAAAGAGCCAGCAGTTTAGCCGGATACACATACCTGTACCACGAGATCAGATGTACCAAACTCCGGTGCCTATAAACAACATCCGGCAAGCACAGGATATGGAGCCTGCAGATATTTGTGCATGTAGCTTATGATCCCACGTTATTGCACGTTCCCTAAATGTACATTCGTCAAAATCTATAGCACGCCAACATTTGCAAGTATCACTTGTTATTTAGCGTATTTTAAATCAACTAAATTTTAAAAATAGAGAGATTGAAGCACAGAAAAAAAGCTGCCTTCCCTGTAAGCAGTCAAGTCAGTGACCAGGGCCACAAAAAGCATTGCGAGCACAAATAATCTAAAATGACTCGGCATATTCTGGAATACCCTTCTCCTTAATCGCCCCGAATTCAGTGTAACAGAATATTGAACTCTCTCTTATAATTATTATATTATACAACGAATTAATGTATAACGTCAAAGCTTTGTTTAATCATTAAGTTTAAATCATCTGTGTAAAAGTTCCATTCCAAATTTTAGTCAAGAAAACAGTCAAATCAAACCATAACCTATTCCTATTGTCCAATGCAGATCTAATTCTCTCTGCATGTTCATTGAGTATACTAAATGAATGACCAATTATTTCATTTTTGAAACAGATAGGCCTGGTTACCACTAGCTATTTTTCTCAGCTTTACAGCACATCTGACCAGTGCCTTCAGCGTGCCGTGTAGGCCAAGTGGGCGATAACTCCATATATATTCGCCTGCTCATCCATGATTGACCAGAAATTCATGAGAGGGGCCTAAGCGAGTTCACCTCTTCAAGAGCCGCAAAATAGATGAAAAAATAATGTAGAGAACGAGAAAGCCCAACTTGACAAATCAGCCGACGTCTTCTGAAGAGGCAGATATTTTCGATATGAGGCTATATTCTCTAGTCTCTTTCTTTATTCCCGCAGCCACTTGAACGATTCGCTGGACCGAGTGGTTAAATGGGTGGCATCGCCATATCATCCTCTTGGCAGTGCCACTATAAGAACAACATCCGGACAGCACCCACTATAGACTTACATTGACCACACATGCAAGTTCGAAAATGATAAATAATCTGTAAACCGATTATCCGAAAAAAGCGCTATATCTATATGTCACATTAAATTTTTAGAAAAACACAATAAAGAGCAGCGTTAGGATAAATACCTGTACCTATTGTCCAACTCCGGTATAACCAACATTGCAGCACAGTGATGGCCTGCAGTATTGTGCATGTGCTTTAATCACAGTATGCGTCCTATAATGTACATTCGTCCCAAATCAGAACAGCAAGCAATTACGTTTTATCTATTTAAATCAATAAATAAAAAGAGAAGATTGAGCACAGAAAAGAAGCGCTCTGTATCATCAAATAAGGCCACCAAAAAGCATGCAGCCAAAACAATATTGACTCGGCATTTCTGGATACCCCTTCCTTTAATGCAGATTCGGTAAAAGATATTAAATCTCTCCTTAAAATTATTTAACGAAATATAACGGCAAAGCTTGTATCATTAGTTAAGTCTCTGTTAAAAGTTTCCATCCAAATTTAGTCAAGAAAACAGTCAAATCAAACATAACCTTCCTTTTCCAAGCAGAACTCTTCTCTCTGTTACATCAATTACAAATGAATACAATTTCATTTTCTGAAAAAACCTGGTTACGCAACAGCTATACTTTTCTCAGTACACACTCTGACCAGTGGCATGGTGGCCGGAGGCCGGAAAACATGCTCATCCAGTGACCAGATAATCAGGGGCGCCGGAAGGCGATTTCAACTCTTCAAAAGGTCGCCAAAATAGGTCGAAAATAAATGTGAACGAAGAAACACTTAAAGTACCAGTCGAGAGGCGCATACGAATGAGATTCTTCTTCGTCCTTTCTTATTCCTCCGCAGCCCTTGACGATCTGGACCGGAGGTAGGATGCATTCGCAAATTCCCTGGCACCCTATAATTAACGCATCGAAGCAACCCACTGATACGACCTCTGGACATGAATTGTGCTAATAGGAAATTTCAAACTATTAGATTTTTCATAAATGCATTCAACTTTACAAAGATACTTTGCATCTTACTTTTAATAGAATTTGTTTCTTCGGTTGATAAATATTCTTTTACTCTCAAATGTTTTGTTATTAAACAATGTTCCTGAAAAACTTTGAATATTCTTAACGTCTTCATGTCCCGTCTTTTCACAATGCAAAACAGAATAAGGATGGTACATAATGATAAAAATTAAGCTAGTGAATTATTTTCTTAAATCTCATTTATCTCAAAAGCCATAAATTGTAGATCTTTTCCCAGTGCAGTTCCGGTCATTCCTAAAAGATAGAGTCTCAAAAATTTCATGCCTCACTAAAACGTTAAGATTCTTGAGATTTGGTACCTGCTAATGATACAGGTAATATAATAATATCATCGAACATTTCCATGAATCTTCTGTTTCTAAACCACGTGGTTCCTGTAAATTATTTTAAGCTTGTAGAGGTTTCAAAGAGCCGTCTACATATTTTAAAATTTTCTTCGCCGCCTTAAACAGGTGGCGCCCTTCATTAAACCAATGTCACTCACCATCCTAAACTCATATGTCATTGAGACCAAAGAAATTTTTGATACTGGCCCTTAGATCTTCTAATTTCTAATCCTAATAAGAGTTGAAATCATATATTAGATTGGCAGTTCCCATAAGCAGTCCCAAAAATAGTAATGTAAGATTTACTTTAAGAAATTTTTCTTCCCGCCATATCGTCGGGTTCGGCAAAAAGGCCTTTTCGTTGAGGACCCAAAATAACATTTGCACAACCCGCTGAACAATTGATCTTACGTTGTGGCTCCCCTTATATTATCAATCACATTTCACCGCTCCTGGTGCCCCCGAGTTTACCATGACTTAACTTAAAGGCGCCGGAAAAAATGTTTGTGCCCTCGCGTTCGTTCCATATTTGAAGTCACCACAGCATAGCCAGTGTGACTCTAGATCACAATATACACTATGCTGAATTCTCTATTATTCGGCCCAATGCCTTAATTACCCAATATCTTGACATGTATTTTTTGTGAGACTTTGTTGGACGTAGTATAAGTTAGCCACCGATAAAATAGACCTAATAATTAATGTCGCATTTATTAGCATAATTTTTCGCCAAATGTAAAAAAAATAGAATTAACTATTTTAAAAGGAATATCGACTATTCGTGGTATTATTATTATAACAGAATACCCTTCCACCCTATCTTTCATACATTAAAAGCTACGCTTTTGTCCTAAATTTTAATCTCTGAACAGAATTAAAGTCAAGCGAGACCAAGTTTATGTTTTATAGATAGGCGAGGATTCTCAATGTAAATACAGAAGCCCATTAGCACTGTAATCCATGTTACTATCCGTTGTGAGTACCTCGCGGCAATTGCATTATTGCTTCAGTAATGCAAGTCCGCTCCCTTGCAGAGCTGCATGAGAGCAACAGCTCTGTGTGAACCTGAGTTTACGATAGACAGCAGCGCATTACTCCAATGATTAAATAAGACCATATATTGAACTACGGCATATAGTTATATTCCAAATCAAACTTATCTCATACTTTACAGATAAAGAAAAATTATGTCATGTTTTTATTATGATAACGACTACATCTTAGTGGAGAGTGAAGCGATAGCAATGTTATTACGAAGAGAAATTTCTTACGTTTACCAATAGAACTCTTGTAGATGTTTGGTCAAAATCAAAGAGACATGCTAGGGTCTTAGAGGTGTTTAACAGGCAGGCCTGTCACAAATTCCACAGAACCCAAATTGTCCAACAAACACAATTATAAAGTAATCTCTTTGCTACATTGCTCTATATATATGTCAAGCCGGTGTACTTATTCTGCAATACACTCAATTAAAATTAAATAGTATAAACAATGTAGAGAATGAGCATCATCCAGCTGTGAAGTATAGTCGACATTATTCAATCGTGGTATACATATTTGGAAGCGTATAAAATAGCCCCCTAAGCGTAGTCTTTCCCCAAGAATGCTTACAGTTTTCACACGCCCCTCATGGTGGCAGTAAATGTACTTTCTTACCATTTGTAGTTGTCATCTACTACTCATGTATACAAACACACACTCTAACCAATAATTTTTTTCATTAGAATGACTCTCCTATAGAAGAGACACAAATTTTTAGCCTCATACCTACAAGAACACAAACTAACTATTTGTAGATGCCCCAATGTTAGGAACTATTTAAAAATCATAGCAGAGAGTTTTTAATGCAAATTATCTCTTAAAGGAATGCCAGCAACTAGATTACAGCACGATTAGTTTTTATCCCTAAGCTCTCGGCTATTATTAAATACGCTTCGTAAATAGATGAGGTTAAACCAATATTGAATTCGTTATAATTTGAAGACAATTAATATAAAACACAACATCATTACCCCTTGTATTACATGGTTCTTGTCCCAGGTCCCCCAAATGTAAAATTAGGTAATAACTCAAGATGTAAAAAGGTATGATACTAAGTTTCACTGGAGTTTATGAATGATTATAACCTGCAAATCATAGAGCCAATTCAACATAAATAATTATGATGCAACGCTTGTTAGCATCATCTGAAATTCAGCAGTTTAGCCCGTTAACCAAAGTACAATTTCGAGTCTCCCAATTCTAGAAGCACCACAAGGAATGCATACTATCATAAAATTAAAACAAGTCTTGCATATATCGGTAAATAAAGGAAAGGCACCACAGATCGAATTGACACAAAAAATCTAATTTTCTTTCCTCTTGTTATTAAAAGACTCCTACCGAACTGCCTACGTAAGATTCATTGGCGCATTTAGGCAAAAGAACCTTAACCACTTACACGTGATACAGGATGTCCCAAGGTTACCTGGTATACAAAAGTATTGCAAGCATCCATTTGAGATAAGCCTTTCATGGCAAGAGTAGGTGCAGAGGCCAAGCTTTCATATGCCTGAACATCAGTTATACCAGTTAACAAGACCTAAATGCACATTCGTACTAATACTACGAATGACAACCATAGAAAAGTGCTAATAGAGTATAGTATCATAAAATAATATGCATCATCATAGCGAAGGACCAAATACGAATTACACACATATATTTGATCGTGGTCAGGTTTATTTAAATTAACGTCTCCCAAAATCTACGTAGATTTTGAAAGTTCGTTTAAGACCTAAGTTAATCTTAAAACAGCATCATACCTTGGCTACATGATGTCCCAGTCCGATAAACCACTATTGCAAACACACAATAGTTAACGAGTTCGAGTGATGCACCTGTGCGAATGCAGGCAGTCAGTATGAAGTCCAAGTTTATGGTCCAGCATAGATGATACACTCGTTGTGTTGTCTTAATGATCGATATCAGATATTTGACAGTATCATCAATCATAATGCAAAAACATATCCTAGAAAATGGCACCGTAGATCAATCAGAAAAGCGTCATATTGCAGCTCCGATTTTAATATAAAAGAAGTTTTCTCTAATCTGAGATGTTACGAATTTGAAATTCGCTTAAATACCCATTACGCTGTAGATGACAGAGCTGTGAAGTGTGAGTCTCGTGTTATTGGACCTGTAGTAAAAGGATCCCAGGTCCCGGGCTATTAACACAACATTGACAGTTATTCAGAAGACACATGCAAGCTGCAATACATTTTTGGCCATGAACAGCATTCCTAAGACATCAACAGTAATAATAGCGGTGTACACTTCAATTGTTACTCTAACGTGACTCAATAATGTTATTCCTGCAGATGTGTAATCAGTCAGATAGACTACGATCTGATCTATCTAGAAAGTTAGAGAATATGCGAATTGAAGTCGTTGAAAAAATTAACGCAAAAAATTAGAAACACCCACAAATATAATTCTGTAAACCAGATTAATGTTTAAAAAAAGTCGCTACATAATCTATATTTCACATTAGATTATTTATAAGAAGGCCGAAGATTACTAAAGAAG